ATGACTGGGTTGCAGTTCATGGTAAGGATTTAATACTACCAAGCTCAGTCAAGTACTAGCCACAGATAAAGATCTGAATGACTAGGTCACAGTTCATGGTAAGGATTTAATACTACCAAGCTCAGTCAAGTACTAACCACAGATGAAGATCTGAATGACTGGGTCGCAGTTCATGGTAAGGATTTAATACTACCAAGCTCAGTCAAGTACTAGCCACAGATGAAGATCTGAATGACTGGGTTGCAGGTGATGGTAAGGATTTAATACTACCAGGCTCAGTCAAGTACTAACCACAGATGAAGATCTGAATGACTGGGTCGCAGTTCATGGTAAGGATTTAATACTACCAAGCTCAGTCAAGTACTAGCCACAGATAAAGATCTGAATGACTGGGTCAAGCTCAGTCAAGTACTAGCCACAGATAAAGATCTGAATGACTGGGTCACAGTTCATGGTAAGGATTTAATACTACCAAGCTCAGTCAAGTACTAGCCACAGATGAAGATCTGAATGGCTGGGTTGCAGTTCATGGTAAGGATTTAATACTACCAAGCTCAGTCAAGTACTAGCCACATAATATTTTTAACTGAATTCTTATTCAGGTTGTTGTATGAATTTCAAATGCTATAATTTGTAAGAAAAGATTAAAAAGATATTGGCAGCATGAGAATAAAAAGTTGTTCTTTCGTAGAGATATCTGATCAAACCTGAACTCCTGCTATTAGTAAATAATGCTTCCATTTGTAAGTTACCAAAAAAATTCAAATGAATATAGAGAATATTCTTTTGTCTCCATTTATAGTCACATCCATTTCAACTTAAGATCATTAATTATAAAGTTTTGACAGCTTTCTAATAAATAGTCCTATCCAAACAGTGTTGATTATTGTGTATTTTTTATCTAGTGGTTGATTTCCTCACATCCATTTCAACTTAAGATCATTAATTATAAAGTTTTGACACCTTTCTAATAAATAGTCCTATCCAAACAGTGTTGATTATTGTGTATTTTTTATCTAGTGGTTGATTTCTTTAACCGCATCAACTTGATCTACGGAACTGTCACTGACTTTTGCCGAGAGGATACTTGTCCTACAATGTCAGGAGGGCCAAAGTAAGACAACTGTTATTTTTCTGTATTGTAATTTTACGTGTAAGAAATCCTACTAACCGAGACTGACTTAGCAAAGTGTTACTACACATTTTCTAACAATTGCCAACATTATTTTCTAAATGTGTATTTCAATAACTTGTGCGACCATGTGTACTATTCAATTCCAAAGCATCAGACATTAAGAATATTATTGCTAACTTAATGTTAAATTTCTTATTTTGTGAATGAAAACTGTACACAGTGCTTCTTGTCTTTTTCTGCAATTGTTAAATCTTCCCTTTTGTATACAAGTTTTTCTTCTCACTGTATGAAAATGACGAACCTTTATTTAAATTTTCGAGACCTTCTAAAAGAGAGAGAGAGAGAAAGAAAAAAAATAGGCCTATATAATACTCCTTAACTATTGTTAGTAAATTTTAGGCTACTAATGACTTTTCAAAGCTGCAGGTCTATATTACTAGTGATATTTATTTTGAATTCTTGGGTGCCCCCTAGTGGCTCTGCAGTAAGTCTGAAGGCTTATAATGGGTTTTAATACCTTTGGTGGGCAAATCATGATAGTCCATTGTGTAGCTTTAGGCTTAACAAGAAACAAAATAACCATTCTTGGACATCAAAAATACATTCCATGTAAGTGTCGATATAGATAGAATTTAATTATGACTGTTGTGGTTTCAAAATTACAGGTACTTATGCACACGTTGTTTCTGTATTTTTCTCTTTTCATAAAAAAGCTATCCATGTAAAAGTCAGTTATTACTATTGAATTACTGAAAATTAACAAATATTAGTAGCATATATGATATTGTTTGAAAGCCATGTATCTTATGTGTGTCTGGAGAATTACTTGTGTGTCTTTGTTGTGCTGTTTTCTAGATTCGAATACCTGTGGGCTGACAGATCTAAGTACAAGAAACCGACTCATCTTCCTGCTCCACAGTACATTGCTCTACTAATGGACTGGGTGGAGACACAGATTAATAACGATGAAGTTTTTCCTGTTACTGTTGGTGAGGTCTTTTATAGTTAATGTTGTCACAACAAAAATACTTTTATGTATATCAGAAAGAGGCTTAATAGCTGCTCAGAAAGCACTGAGAGCTCTTCATTAATGTTATATACATTAAGAAACTACTTGTTGCTTGATGTGAAAGTTGTCACATGTACATTTGTATGAAGCTTCACGAAAACGTTAATATAAAAGTATAGAACTATTTAGTAACTACCTTGTAATTACAGTTGTTAATCTCAAAAACGTCAAGTTTTTTTAATTTGCTTTTTATTAGCCAATATTTATATATTACTGAAACAAAAGTTCTTTTGTGATCTGTCATTATACCTCTATATCAAATATACTTGATAAATAAACACTACATATCTGAATTAATACCCCAATATATATTATTTCAATGAAATTAGAGTGAAGAATAGGAGTGCTTTTTTCTGGTATTTATGATACATAATTCAGAATAAAAGCATTTCCAATGCCATCTGGTGAGCACTGACTGTAGTACATGGTAACATGTGAATAAATGGGGGCAAATAATTAAAAAATAAGGTGAGAAACGGTTTATGTGAAGTAACTCGGGTAAATATTTTTTGAAATGTAGGGGGTGCCCGGGTTATCTCGAGCAAATCACAGAAATGGTTAATAAGTGGATTTGCTTACAGTGTAAATATTGTTTAGTGGACTGAATTTGAAATGCCATAGACAAGATGAACTCTTGTAAGAAGAATGTTTATTTATGTGATTAGCTTAATATTCTTATGGCCACATCTTCAAAATGCTTGTAAGTCTGAATTGAGTTTTAGAAAAATTATTTCAAAAACAAATACATTTATTCAAAATGCATTTGTTGTATTTTGTTTTCTTAAGTTTACATCCCTGCAGTTTTTTTGCTTAAATCAAGACTGTCACAAACACCATTTTTTGTCATTTTTTCTAACAACAATATTAACAGAAATAAGAATCTTAAAAATGTAGCAAGTGTTTGAATTTGTATTATGTATTTACATGTTTTAGTGTTATTGACACTAGGAGTGTTTTTAACACCTTTTGTATAAATACCATGACTTTGTTTCTTTGTTGCTCTGACAAAACCAGTCAATAAACATGACTGTGTTATGTGTTTTTTATGTGTGTTATGATTAAATAACATAATCACTAACGGTCCAGTCATACTTCATTACATGTGAATGACCACAGAATGGGCACTAAGCTTATTATAGTGGCCATATCTATGGAACTTTATATTTTCCTTCCTTCTTGCTCACTCAAGTGCATTAGAAACTACCATGATATTATTTTAAAACAACCATTTAAAAAAAAAAGCACTAAAAAGACTGTAGTTAAAGTGAGAGAGATGAGAAATCAAAGTGGTTGCTTAGATGGGCTGTAATAAGCTAAAGTAGGTAGATGAATTACACACCACCCAGTGAAAACACTGGCCAAATATTACATTACTAGCAAAAGTACCCGGCTTTGCTTGGGTTATTAGGTTGATAGTGTATGTATTCTGAACCCATTTTAGCATAAACGCATAACCTATATACTTTTGTTGCTAAGCAACATGACATAAAAGCCATTGTTGGAACACATTGTTACCAAAATGCTCTGGCTTTTCTATATATTAGAAGTTGTTATATAAGGAACCATTTCTTTTCTATGTGATTTTTTGCTAGCTTGCCTTATGAAAAAGATGCACATGCATGTGGATAAGTACTACCCAGGTGCACACCCTCAGGTTCCACTTAGAATGGGTGCAGAATTTCAGGTTTTTAGGCTCTTTCTTTTTGGAGCTGTGGTGGTCACAGTTCTTTTCTATGTGCTTATACACCCATGGATAAGTAATAATACCTAGTTGCACACTCTCAGGGTCCAAAATTTCAGGTTTCTAGGTTCTTTCTTGTTGGAGCTATAGCAGTCACACACACACACACACACACACATATGAATAAGTAATAATACCCAGGTGCACACCCTCAGGGTCCATTTAGTATGGGTGCAAGATTTCAGGTTTCTTGGTTCTTTGCTCTTGGAACTATGGTGGTCACATATTCTTTTCTATGTGTTTTTTTTTCACTTGCTTACCTCACAAAATAGTGCAAACACACATGGATAAGTAATAATACCCAGGTGCACACCCTCAGGGTCCACTTGGTATGTGTGCAAAATTTCAGATTTCTAGGTTCTTTCTTCTTGGAGCTATGGTGGTCACAGACAAACAGAGATGCCATATTATTATTATTATTATAGATTAAATATTGAATATAACCTCATCTCCTCTTTAAAGATGCTTAGAAGAAAATCAAGTGATTAAAAAGAAAGTTATGTTGTGTCATTGCTAGAATATATGAAGAACCTTGAATTTGTTTGAAGCATAAATCTTATTTTGTATTAGTGAATCAGCAATTAAGTTCTTAACGTGCTTTAGCTTATAAATTATTTTATTTTCTAAATCTTGGAAATTGTTCTCTCTTCAGATGTTCCCTTCCCTAAGAACTTCATTCCTACTTGTAAGAAGATTCTTACACGGTTGTTCAGAGTGTTTGTTCATGTCTACATACATCATTTTGAAAGTTTGGTAGCTATTGGAGCTGTAAGTACAGATGGATGGTGTTTTTTGCATGCAGTTTTATTTATTTATTTATTATCAATGTAAAATTGATTTTTATTCCTTACATTGTATGTTGATTTTATCTGTAGTGTGTTGTTTGATGGTGGGTAAGAATAGTGTTGTGTTTTAGAAATTCCATAAGAAGATCTACTTCTCTGTGTAGAGAAATGACAAATTTATTACTGTTGGGTTTGATCTGTAGTTCTACGATAAAAGAATTACTGACCATGTGAAATATTTGTATAAAATTATTGTTTCCCAAGACTACGTTTTTTCAGTTAAACCTTGAAGTACTGTGTCAAAATAAACTTCCAACATATATAAATCTACATTAGGATTGTAGTGAATTGAGTGGGAAAATGCTAAAAAAATCTAACACAACAAGTATTCTGTAGAAACGATTTGGTATGATATCATACCTACATGTTGTGAGTCTACATATTTCCGTGACTTGGTATGATATCATATCTACATGTTGCGAGTCTACATATTTCCGTGACTTGGTACGATATCATACCTACATGTTGTGAGTCTACATATTTCCGTGACTTGGTACGATATCATATCTACATGTTGCGAG